TCCTCACCTAGCAATGGAACGTCTGTCCCAACCATGGCCATAAGTTGAGGACTACCTGTGGCGGCGTCAACGGCTGAGGAAGAAATCCATGTGGGTTGCTGATGAACCTGGCTCTCTTCCCCTTACGCTATTTATAGATTATTGCTGGATCATTCCTATTCCATTTGTAAAAGCATCATATAAAAACGTCTCCCCCTCTTCCTTTTGAGCCAAGCCCAATTAATATACATCTCTGAAACGGCTTCGTCTTCCAATAGCTGCCCCCTTTCTTCAAATATTTATAAGCCGCCTCTTAAGGCAAATGCTACCATTGCCCGTTGAAAGATGATTTCAGAAACAATATACTTATAAACAAACAGGGAGAAAAACAGCCGTATTGGAACCGTAGGAAGGAATCCAAAGCTGTAGTTAAAAAAATGCCAGGCCGGCAGGCACAGAATAATTTAAAACCAGCAGAGCCAGAAGACTGTAAAGATAATAATAACAATAACATCGAAACGAGTGAAATCAATCCGATTACAGAACTTTCCTGGCGAAATCCATTCCGAAAAAGTGTGCAAAACAGAAGATTTCAATGCGATCATAACGAACCTCAAAAGCTGTAACTCAAAGTTATAGGTGCCTTTGTGGTCTTCAACACACACGTTTTCTCCCCTCCCTCCTTTCCTGCTTTCTACTGCATTCGCCTTGTTCTGATAGCAAAGCTTGTCTAACCGTGGTGGGACAAGGGGTTGGTTTTTTCTCTCTTTCTGTTTTTTAGCCAGCTTATCACAGAGCCTGACCCTGGTTTGGGCTGAGAAGGCATGGCTTGCCCATGGTTGTACCATTGACTTCCACACCTAACGGAAGATTAAAACTCGGATCCCCCCCCCCACTGCTAGTCTGGAGTCTTTGCATCTACATCATGCTGGCTCTTTTGAATGTTATATACCAGGGGTCTCCAAACTTGGCAACTTCAAGACAAGCAAAGCTGGCTGAGGAACTCTAGGAGTTGAAGTGCACAAGTCTTGAGGTTGCCAAGGTTGGAGACCCCGGTAATATCGAATCTCACAATGTGTCATGCTTGCTACATGTTGCCTCCAAAGTACAGCTAATCCTTGACTTAACAGTTCATTTAGCGACCGTTCGATGTTACAAACGGCACTTCTGACCATTGCAGCATCCCCATGGTCAAAGTTTGGACGCTTGGACACTGACTCATACTTATGACGGTTGCAGCGTTCCCGGGGAGGTGGGGGGGGTCCTTGGGCGACCTATCCAGCAAAGTCAGGGGATTCAGTGAACGACCGTGTTCCTAGGTAAACAGCCGCTGGATTCACTTAATGACGGTGGCAAGAAAGGTCCCAAAACGGGGCAAAGCCGTCTCGCTCAGAGCAGCCCTGTGCGCTGGGCACAGGCTCCTCTGGGTGCTCTTCCTCACTGCTGCCAGCCTGCACAATCTCCGAAGGCAGCACTCCACTCCCTGATGGTCCTGGCCCCCATCCCTGCATCCTATGCAGGCCCCTCATCCGGGTCCTCGCTCTCCGAGACCTCAGCCGTCTGCACCTGCTGCCGGCGAGCCACAACACACACACACACACACACACACACACACACACACACGGCCTTGCCAAGGTGACCCAGCTGATGGCGGTTCCGTGTCCCACCTATAACCTTGCTTCATCCCGGCTTGTCTCGTTTCCTAGCTCCCCTTTTCAGAGCGTGGAACAATGCAGACAACAGCGGCTCTCGAAAAGATTGCGGTGCCTCACACTGGCAAGGCTGATGGGGTATTGATCTTTCCTTTCTCTTAAGGTTTAAAATGGCTCGCAGGCCTCCCAGCGTGAACACCTACGGCAGCGGCAGACGATGGAGGGTTTTTGCACAGAAACGAGACGATGGAGGGTTTAAATTCCTTTTCCGGGGGAGGCCGGGGGGGGGCAATTCCCCTCCCTTCCCCCTCCATCTTGGACCGGCATTGCCAAGAGATTAGCCCGTTTTCTTTCTGGGGTGTGTGTGTGTGTGTGTGCGTGTGTGGCGTTGCAAACGATCTTAACCGGCTCTGAATTAAGGGAAGGAGAGCGAGGGAGGGTGTTGTGTGGGCGTTGAACCTTTTGTGTTTTATTTTTTTTTCCCCCAAGGGCCTTTTGAATGATCGGACTCGGATCGAACGAATTGCGAATAAGATGCCCGGAATTATCATGATGATTATTATTTTTAAAAAAGACTTAATTCCCACCAGAAAGGTGAAAAGCGGAATATCGCTGGCTGGTGGTCTTGCATCCATAATAGCCTCTCCTGCAGTGCAGACGGAAAGGGGAGGAAAGGCCCGTGTGTCTCGGTCCAGGTGTAAAATTATTATTATTTAGATATGGGCGGCGTTTGTCACTCAAAGGCGTAATTTTCAAATTTGTACGGACGCCCGCTTGGAATGACGAGCTCCCCCCCCCCCCAAAAAAAAACCCGAGAGAGGAGACCATGGTGGGGTTGCCCCTTTGCCTGTAAGTTTACGGTGTGTGTGTGTGTGTGTGTGTGTGTCTAGAAAGCTGTGGAGTCTAAAAATCAAACGCTTTCCTAAATATATCCTGGCTTGATGCCTGTCACGTGACTTTGATGCCCAGTAGGGAAATTGCATAGAGATCAGATTAGCTGGAGTTGGGCCCAAGCTGAAGGAAACACAGATTAAAGGCAGGTGGCAGGTCTTACCTGTGCAAGCTGTCGACCAATGGGCAGCCTGTGCAGAAGCTTTGATTCACAGTTCACGAAACAGGAACCTTAGAGGTCACCTAGTCCAACCCCTTGCTCAGCGCAGGCTCCACGGTGGCAAGCAAGAGACCACCCCACCCGGCTGGCCTCTAGGGAAGGTGGACATTTTTTTTAACGGGGCAGCCCGGTCCCTCCCGTGCACATCCCGCATCCACCTTCTTTGGGGGCAAGCCAGGTGACCCCTGGTGATGCAGTGGCCCCTGCACCGGGCAAGGGGTTGGGCTAGGTGACCTCTAAGGCTCCCTCCAGCTCTGACTTCGTGAACTGTGAATCGAAGCTTGTGGGTTTGGTTTTGGGAAATTGCTCACCTTGTCGAAGAGTCGGAATCCCTTTAGTAAAGGAGATTTTCCAATGAAACATCGTAGGCAGGTAGACCTCTCCTTACGACCACAATTCAAATTTCCATGGCTAGTTGTTAAGCGAGTTGCACCCCACGTGACCTTGGAACACAGCTGCGGTCATAAGTATGAACCAGTTGCCAAACTTCTGAATTTAGAAGAGAAGAAAGCTGGATATGGGACCTTGGAGGTCTTCTAGTCCAACCCCCCCCCCCTTTCCAGCAGGAGAGCCTCTCCCATTTTCAGACAAGTGGCTGTCTAGTCTCTTCTTTTGATCACATGACCTTGGGATACGGTGACCGTCATGGATACGAACCCATCGCCAAGGATCTGAATTTTGATCCGATGACCACGGGGACATGCAACGGTCATCGATGAGAAAAACATTCCTAAATCACCTTTTTTCCCGGCGCCGTTGTAACTTCCAGCAGTCGCTAAACGAACGGCTCTAAGACGAGGACTGCTTACAGTTGCTGAAGGGGGTTGGATGAACTTTAATAATTTACGCCAAATTGGCCTGGTTATTATTATTTTTTTTTTTGTTTAGTAAGCATTAAATCTGCACGTACAAAGTCCATAGACAAGGTGCATTTTTCTCGCCCGTTTGAGGCCACGTAGCCAAGCAGGGTTTATCATTTGGGTTTAGTTTGGTTTTTCTTCCCCTCTTCTCCGGTCTGATAAATGATTCTTAAGACTTTTACGGAATAGAAACATCCAGAAAATGTTTCTGATCTTCAGAACGAGACGCAAAGCCAGCCGTCCAGTCCGGATTTCAAATCACTTTAAGATCCTCTCGTAGTGATCACAATTTCTAAAGACCATTTTATTGTAGAGTTAAATTGGTGCTTAAGCGGTAATTTATAATTTATGTTGGCATTGATAACGTTGGCTGTGTTGAAAGCAGCCGGATCAAATAACCGCTGGATGCTCGATTTCTTTTTAAAAAAAAGGGGGGGGGGGGGAAACAAACCTGGTTTAAGCAGGGCTGAATTCACACGTGGGGCATTAAAGCTGTAACACAGTTTATTTCTGGTTTATTTGTGAGTTTGACTTGTGTATCGTGGTTTATGAAACCAAGACAAACTGTTCAACATTTGTGGTGGTTGGGCCCAAATTCTCAAAATAGCTAGTCAAACAGTAAACAACAGTGAACGGTTTAGTGGCTGTTCGAAGTTACAACGGCACTGAAAAACGGGGACTTAGAACCGTTTTTCATACTTAACGACCGTTGCAGCATTTCCCCCAGGGCCACGTGATCAAAATTCCCCTCCGACTTGTATTTATGATGGTCGCAGCGTCCCCCATTTGCGACCTTCTGACACACAGAGTCAGCAGGGAAGCCGGATTCACTTAACAACGGCGTGACTAACTTAACAACTGCAGGGATTCCCTTAACAAACTTGGGCAGGAAGGTTGTAAAACGGGGCAAAAAAAAAATCGCTTAACCAACGTCTCGCTTAGCAACGGAAGTTTTGCAGCAGAAATTTTGGGCTCCACTGTGTGTCATAAGTCGAGGACTACCTCTCTATTGGTATGTTTTTTCGGGCACAATTAAAACGTAGTTTTGTTTAATTTAAAAAAAAAACAACCCAAGCATTTGATTCCTGTTCTAGTTATTCTGCATTGCATTATTATTTTTTTCTCCCAGGGGTTTAATTTGAAGACAATAATAGCAAAATAATAATAATAATAATCAACTTCTGTGATATTTTTCTCACCGTTTCCCCCATTAGCTTCCCTGCATTATTATTATTATTTTTCTTAAGTTGCTGCTTAAGTTGAAGTGGAAGGTGACTCCGTTTGCTGATATTTGCCTGTTAACTGTTTTGCATTGTTTTGTTTTTTGCAGTAAATTTGATTTTGTGCAGGTTGTTTGGGTTTTTTTTTTTGACTCATTGTAGCTCCTTTGTTTTACAGAGATCTTGACGCAGCCGCCATTTTGGAATTCTTTTTAATAATGTGACCCTTCACCTTTGATCCCCTGACCTGCATTATCTTGGTAACCATTTCATTTTTTTAATTTAATTTTTCATTATTATTATTATTATTTTTTGTTTAAATTTTTTATTTATTTATTTTGGTTTGGTGTGTAAGCTTTGTAACATTTCACCTTCTTAAATTGTAACATTTCTTTGACTTCCCTAAATATAAATACTCTTGTTTTGCCTGTAAATGTTGTAAATGTCTCATTTTCCTTTGATTAAAATTCATTTCAGTTTTTTTAAAAAAAGATACAAGTTCTCATTGTTTTTATTTTGATGTTTAACAATGTGCAAGCTTTTATCCGTTGTGTTACTTTTGTTTTCTAGCCATGTGTTTCCAAAACATTTATAAACTAACAGTCACTTTATTAAAAGAGTTTTACAGTGAAATATCTTCATTTTCTTTTTTTCCCCTTTATCCCCAATTATGTTTTATCTGTCATAACTGAGCCAAAAACAGGCAACCAGGATTGTGTTTTGACACATAATTTCTATTTCCAGTAGCATCTTTATTGAGGCCACTTTCCATTGCAAGCTGAATTTCAGTAAAATATTGTATGTTGTTCCATTAATTGGTCTCCCTTTTAATAGGATGGCCTCGAAAATAACCCCAGATACAAAAAAATATCCATGCTTGTTTAATAGAATGCCACCCTCAACTTTTGGCCATAATTGAGCCCGGCATTTTTGTTCCTAAGTGAAACATTTGCTAAGTGAAGGTCGCCTCATTTTGCAACCATTCCTGCCACCGTTGTTAAGCAAATCCCTGCAGCTCTTAAGTGAGTCACGCAGTTGTTAAGTGAATCACTGCAGTGTATGAATAGCACGGTCGTTAAGTGAATCTGCTTTTTTTTTCCAAAAGGGGATCGCGTGACACACACCCCCTCCCTCCCCCGGGGGACGCTGCGACCGTCATAAACACGAGTCAGTTGCCCAGCCTCTGAATTTTGATCACGTGACCCCCTGCTGAGGCGGTCATACCTGTGAAAAATGGTCCTAACCGAATTCACTTTTTCAGTGCCGTTGTAACTCTGAACGGCCACTAACTGAAATGTTGCAAGTCGGGGACTGTCTCCAAACCGCTTGGTCCACAGGCGGGCCCCCTTAAGAGGTCTCTAGCATCTTGCAAACTGTTTGTGTGTGTGTGTGTGTATCACACACTGATGTGGGAGGGGGTATCCTTTAGAGATTTGGGGAGGGGGCTGGATAGAGATGCTATGCAATGCCGGTTGCATCAACCCCATTTATTTTCCTTCTGCCTTAAATTCCTCCCTCCCATCCTGTCCTGCATTTTTCCATACCCAATCTCTCTCTCTCTCTCTCTTCTCTCTTCTCTCTCTTCTCTCTCTCTCTCCCCCAATATGTATGTGTGTGTGTATATATGTATCTTTCTTCCTTCCTTCCTTCCTTCCTTCCTTCCTTCCTTCCTTCCTTCCTTCCTTCCTTCCTTCCTTCCTTCCTTCCTTCCTTCC